TATTCTTCAACTTCATATTTTAGCAGCTTCATCAGAGGCAAACCAAGTTACCAATAGTGAAGGTATAGATACCGTGGAAACTGTCCCTGAAGCGGTTCCAATTGTCTTAACTGAGCCACCCATTGAAGACCAACTGTCCTGGCATACTCTATGGCCAGAGACACACAAACTATATGGTCATGGGAATGAACTGTATTCATTATGCTGTGATCATGAGGGAAAGCTAGTTGCTTCGTCGTGCAAGGTATGTAAAATAACATATCTAGAGCTACCTTGATTTGTTATGGATAAATGTTTTTACACATGTACTTGACATTATACAAATACTTTGTGGTTTGTAGTTTTGCTATTCTTGTCTCTATTTTCCATGAAAACATAAAATGATAAAATGCATGCATATTGCATAATTTGAGGTCAATTATCAAATTATTATATATAATGTACTAGACTAGATTTTTCCATCATTTGTAATGAAGCCAAAGACTCGTTAATTTTTGGTTTGACAATATGATGGAATAAAGCAAAATGGTTCACTAAACTGTCTGCGCTTCTTTCTTAAGAAGCATTAGTCAGTGCATGCAATTTTCAACGTGAATTTCACTATGGGTCATCCAGAAACAGTCTCTCTGTGCATTAGTACAGGGATAAGTGTTTAGAACAGATATAAAAATCAACGGGCTAAACCGTTGATTTTTTAATCAATGATAAAAACCGTTGCCCAGAGCCAAAAGGCTTAAATCCAACTTTATTCCAAGATAAGCAAGAATGAACCCTGGTAAGGGGTATAAATAGTCTTCTAGTAAGGGACTCAAGAGAAACCCTAATCGGGTCCAAATTAATTAAATCCTAATAAAGCTCATACTAACTCTACGTCTCTACTGAATACTTTACTAATAATAGGTCCAAACTAAAAACATAACATAAACTTTATAATAATAAAAAAAACTATAATCCTAGCCCAAGACCGTTCCCACCCCATGCTCTTCCTGCTCTCTATCAGTAATACTGTGTACATCCGACCCCCCTTACCCCATCGTAGATGGGATCCTTTGCGGCACTAGGGTAAGGATGATGATGAATGTACTAGACTAGATGAAAGTTGCACATCAGTCACTTGTCAAAATAGTTGTTTTTAATCCTCTGGTGCATTGCAAGTGCTGATTCCCTCTCTTAACTCTACTTTGGTTTTTTCCTACAAAGTTCAAAAGTAACATTAAATGACTCCTGACCTTGCTATCATGTGTTCAGGCTCAATCAGCATCAGTTGCAGAAATATGGCTGTGGCAAGTGGGTTCTTGGAAGTCAGTTGGCCGCTTGCATTCACACAGCTTGACTGTGACACAGATGGAGTTTTCTCATGATGACAAGTATCTTCTGTCAGTTTCAAGGGATCGCCACTTTTCTATATTCTCAATTAAACATACAGGTAGATTAACCATATAAAGTACTTGTGATGGTGATACAGTTGTGTTCTTTTTTTGGTTTGTGTGAGCCTGTATGGTGACGGCGGTGGTATTTCTAGCATTTATCATTTTATAACATATTTCTTTTTTCAAGAATGAGTCGATGAAGATACGATAAGTAGGGAATATGTAATTTTTTAAAACATACACGAGTGACAACTTTTAGCATTGTTTGATTGAGGATATAGACAATTCTCTCCTAATAACATACGTAGTATAAATTAGTGTTATTAATTGCAATTTACATATTTAGAAACTATGATAAAGTTCTTTTGAGCTGCAAAAAATCAAAATTTGAATATGACAAAAGTTTGGTACATAAATTTGGGAGTTTCAGGTCAAGATGTAAGCCTTGTAGGAACACAAGTTTGGTTTGAGTATTGATGTCTAAAAGTTGTGGAATAACATGCTTGATTTGAGTGTCCCGTTTATCTGTAACTATAGGTAATTTGCTTGAGTTAATCTAAGAAATTATCATGTGATACAAAATTTGTAAATGGTAAATAATGCTTTCTGGATGTACCTTGTCACAGTGTCGGATGACACAGCATACCAGCTTGTAAGTAAGCAGGAGGCACATAAAAGGATTATATGGGCATGTGCTTGGAACCCATATGGTCATGAATTTGCCACTGGTTCAAGAGACAAGACTGTCAAAATCTGGGCAGTTGAAAGCGAAGCTTCAGCTAAGCAACTCCTTACTCTTCCACCATTCAACAGTAGTGTGACAGCACTATCTTGGGTTGGCCTAAATCGACATAACAACCATGGCCTTCTTGCGGTAGGTATGGAAAATGGTTTAATTGAATTATGGAGCCTGCAAAATACAAGAGGCAAAGATGGTAATATCTCAGCATGCACCTCTGCTCTTGCTGTTAAGTTCGATCCTTTTATGTGCCATGTTTCGATGGTGAACCGGTTAGCATGGAGAAACTCGGAGGGAAGAGAAGATTCCAATGCCATGCAGCTGGCTTCGTGTGGGGCGGATCAATGTGTGAGAATATTTAATGTATGTTTTGCTATAGCTTGAAATGAGGTTTTGTGGATAGACGCGTGCTCCAAGCATAGTGAGTTGTATTTTAACAATTTAACAGCATTCATATTGGAGTTTGACATTGCTTAATGTGTTTGGCTTGTTATCTTTACACTCTACTCTTTACGCTCTACTCTTCTCCTGTTGTTTACAAAAATTTAGGAATTCGTAAAGACGACAAGCTTAATATGATTGGCGGGAATGATTTGATACTTTGATGCAAATAATTAATTGGCAGCAATGAACTTTGATTTTGCTGAGACCAAAGGCACCTTGATGTTGCTAAATTTATGTGTAGAATAAAAGCCCGTTTCATAGTATTGCAATTAGTTGAAATTATGAAATCATGTTTAAGTTGTTGAATTGTGAAAAATATATTTAAAGTATATTTTATTAATAAAGTAAAGAAAAAATTAAATGTAAATGTAATTAAAACAGTCATCTTTATCAGTTTTATTTATTTTAATTATTACATAATTTAGTAATAATTAAACAATTATTCTTGGTTCCTATTTTCAAATTTCAATCATTATTATGTGTGGAATTCTTGTACGGTGTTTTGATGGCGATGAAGTGGAATTTGGATTAACATAATACCTTTAGGAATCAAACTATCTTGAATTATTTACAGAAGCACATAAAAGCACTTAAATTAAACAAAAGTTTCAACTCAAATTATCAAAAACACTATTATATGCTGATATACTTTTTAAACATAAAAAAGAAATTCAAAACTTTTTTAAAGTTATCACTTATCAGTAGCATACAAAAGTTTAAATAAGTAAATCATTTCTATGAAAGTCAATAAAGGAATAGTAAACTCGACAGAAATCTATGCTTTCGAAGACCAGAAAAAATGTAAAAGTTGTAAATGAATACAGCTTTTCTTAATCTGTGACTATATTTATTCTTCTCTTCATGGGTTTGATTTTTCTATTTTATAATTGTGTGATTTGGGCCTTTGGGAAAAAGAATTGATAAAATCTTATAGAATTGCATATTTATAGAGTTTAAAATTTCATGGAATATATTTATTATAACTTTTAAAAACTCCATGTATATCAAGGTATATCCATGAAAATGTCTTTTAACGTTTGGGTGTATTAAATCAAACCACTTACAACTGTAAAAGGGTCTTGAAGTTTGATTGTTATTAGTTAATATGGAGTTTAAGAACTAACTGAATATAAGTTAAAAAAATTACTGATTTTAAATTACAGTCCCTTTAAGTGCTTATTATAATAAATTCCTTTTACAGGTTTATGAAGAAAAAAAATACTCTGAAATCCTTTCTTTCCTAAAAAATTCTAAAAATTCAGATAAGTGAATCTATATAATTTATAGAAAGTTATGAACTATGCAAAAAAGGTTAACCTTCATTTTTCAATTTTACGAAAGTGCTCGTGGATAAGGCTGGTAAATGAGAGAATATTGTTTTGTAATTAGTAATTTGGCAATTTATCAAAATAAGCTAGCAAGTCATAGGTTTTGGTGTCCAATTTTTGTTTGTTATAGATTGAAATCTGTGAAATAGCAAAGTAGTCAATCTTTCTAAATTACCATTACAACTTAACATGACACGCTATGGGCACTGCTAAGAGCCTCAAATGGTGAGATGCAACAATACAACATGCAAACATGTAAAATGAACTTGGTTGTTAAATGAAAAAAGAAGAATTATAATTTTCCGTTTATTCTCATTTTAATTTTTAAATTGTTATATTTCTTTTTTCTTTTTGAAAATAAAATATGCAGCTGATATTATTCATTTCTTTCTAAATAAATATTAATTATATAATTGTGAATTATGGGGAGACGGATCTTATGAGACGCAATGTGTGAAAAAAGAGCATGCAATAAATTTTGTTCTTTTTTCTGAACAGACTGGTTGATTATGAGTAAGGGTCCGAGTAAGGATAGGGGTCAAATCAAAAACTTATCTAGGTAAACGGTTTTTAGTGGCGGATGTTGTACATAAATTTTGAAGGTTCAAATTTACTTTATAAATTTTAGGTATTCAAATACATATATAAATTTTTACACTAGCACTCATATATTTTGGGTGCTCGCATGAACAGTTTTGAACATATGGAGGTCCACCCCTGAATACGTTACATTATTTCAAATGTTATAATAATTCTCAATTGTTTATGCTCTCTTCATTTTTGTTATAGTACATAGAATTAGAGATCTTTTAAGTCACAAGAGTTTATTATACCAAATACTATAAAATAAACTAGTCTTTTGTAGACTTGGGAAGAATATGCAAAGGTTTAAATGGTCTCTTCTTAATTTGTGACTAATGCAATCTGCTTTTTCTGGTGTTTAATTTTTTCTTTAAATTTCGGTTAATTGTGGTGCATGCGTTCATCGGTGTACACGAATTGATAGATTATATGTTACTGAATTGATATATTTAAATACTTCATTAAAATCTGTGAGTTCAACTGAAGCCTCTCTTAAATTTTAAAAAAGTTTTCTGAATTCGTATGTACACGATTAAAAGCACTAATTAATGACTTTTAGAAAGTCTTAAAAGTTAAAGTTAATTAAAGTTACCTGCCTGGTTCACTGGATCTGGATCCAGGTCTAACCCTAGCTAGTTTATAAAAATAAATGGAAATCGAGTATTTTCAACACAGCCTGGTATGATTTCATCCCAGGCATTCATCAGGAAAAACTTAGGAAGAATCGTATCTGTGTATGTATTGTATGAGTGAATGACATCACAATATTAAGGCAACTTCATGGGAAGAGCCGTTTATGTTAGTGATAGGGCCTTTAAACCAATGGCGGGCACTAAATATCCAGGAAGAAACAACTAGCAGAAGCAGGCCACCAACTGCCACAGGAGTGTAATTCAGAGTTTGATCTGTAATAGGATAAGCTACAGGCAAGGAGAAGAGCACCGAAATTGTTGCCACCCATAATACAGTGATCCAACCAGCGACAACCCCATACCGCCCCAAGTTAAAAGGTCCCGGGGTGAACGTTTTTCTCGCCAAAGTTACCCTAAAAAGGGATGGCAGTGCATATGCAATATACAGCCCAATTGTTGCTATTGATGTCATGGCTTGAAATGCCACCAAGCTTCCAAGCGACTGTCAAGTATTTTTTGCAGTGATTTAAACTTGAGTCAGTACACAATGTTTCATTATAACAAAACACCAAAAACTGAGAGGGAAAACATTTAAGTATACCGTAAGTGCCATGCAAAATGCTACAAGACTTGATGCCCATACTGCATTAATAGGAACTTCATGCTTATTTACTTTATGCCAGAACTGTGAAAAGGGCATGGCTCCATCTCTTGAAAATGCATAAGCCATCCTGTAATGGTTTACCCCAAAAGAGCTTATATCTATGTTTAGCAGTTGGTACTCATTTTTCCATTTTGTGGCAATGACACTTAATTTTTTTTATTTCTAGTCCTCTGGCAGTGACTATTTTAACTGAGATCTTTTAGTACCCATCTTTGAGTTTTCACTTTTCGTCATCTGTCTATTGTGAGAGTCAATTTTGGCACTGGTCTTTAAATTTTACCACAAAGATAGGAGGACCAAACATGTCATTGTCACAACAATCAGATGACCAAAAGTGAACAGTTTCAAAAATGGGTACCAAAAGTCACTCAAATCACAACTTTCAGAGTACTAAAAATGGGGAAGTTTAAAAATGGGTACTAAAAGTGTCGCTGCCACAATAGTTGGATGACTAAAAGTGGGGAAAAATTGAACTTGTATTAAATAAAAATAATAATACAATGAAACTTGACTACCAAAAGACGTGTTGTGGTACCTGGAGTTGCTAGTTAGTGAGCTCATGCCACAGAAGTATATGGCAACAGCAATAACACCTAAGCAAACAATCCCACCAACACCACTGCCATATCTACTCTTAAATGCATCGTAAAATATTTGAGCTATAGCATATCCACCTGCATCATTATCTCGATTTATAAGATGTGGTATGTCAGTGACTGCAAAAGTTATACCAAGTAGATAACACCATCCAGCTAGAATGGATATGCCAATGGCACTTATGATTCCCTTTGGTCCATTCTCATCTGCATTTTTTGTTTCCTCCGTCTGCACAAAATGGTTTTTAGAAAAGCATCAATTTGGCACAACAAATTACTCTGGGAGTAAATGCTTCAGATGTTTCTAGATTTTGTATTTTGTTATAAAGCATGAATTGATTTTTCTGTTCAAACCTATCCATATAAATTTCAATAAACTGAAAAATGTCTCACTAGTATATTGAGTAAAAAAAATTAGTAATTTTTTCAGTGATGGTTTTAGATTTTTTTGTAATTGTTTTATTATCTTTTCAGTAAACAAAATCATTCATACATATCTAATCAGTTTTTTAAAATTGAGTTTATCTTGAGGGACTCTTAATTTTTATACATCTTGAGTCAGTTGAGTGTAGAGATGGATCCTTTCATTTGCAGTTTTGTACATATCTCACAGATTATAGAGGGTAATTGACCAGCTTTTTTAATTCCTCACTTTCACTTTTTTATCTTTTTGAGAGAAACACTAGATTGTCAGGTAGTTCAGGAAAATCGCTAATCATCTGTATAATGAAAAAATCTTGGGTATAAACTCTTACAAGAGGTCCCTGCATTTGGTCCAAATTACTCAGCGAGTTCCAAAGTTTTCTTCCCACTTTCCTTTTTGGGACGTGCCAATATTTTCTTTTCATTTCCTTTTAAAGAATTGTTTTTGTGGATGATACTGTTTCTCTTCTTTTTATATGAATCACAATCATACAATTTCACTTTCTTAATAAGTGTGCCTAAGTCAAAACTGGGAAGAGAATTTTGGGACTGATGGAGTATAACTCTAAAAGCATATACAAAAACTACACTCACCATATGGGCAGATGCATCATAGCCTGTTAATGTATACTGGCTCATAAGGAGCCCAAGGAGAAATATGTAAACTTTGCTATGAATCCCATCAGTGCTTTCTGTGTTGAAGTTAGTAAATACAAACTTGGCACTTGCTCTTTCTGTGGCAACAGTGGGGATCAAAATCATGAGAAGAAAGACACCTGAAATTTTAGTATCAATAGTTCTTCATTAAATATTTATTTAAACTTCAAGATTTCTTTTAATAGACACACACACACACACATATTGTGTACTGCACTTGTAGGTACCTAAGATATTCCATGCAGCAGCAAACTGCCCAAGGAAGGACAATAATGAGATGGGAAGGCTATTTAAGAAGGCATGTGAGAGAAGAATTCCTCCATGCATTGCAATAACAACATACTTAGAGGGTTCATAACCTCCTCCATTTTTCCCACCTGTCCCGAGAAGAATCATCACCTGAATCAACAGCGCAAGTGAAAAATCTACACTTGTCGTTACAGCCCACTGCAAACAGGTTTAGTGTTACATGTAGATACTACATAGTTTCATTACAGAACGAAGAAGGCATAGACCCCATGCAAAAATACCTGACCAACAACATTGAACCTGCATTGCAGGAAGAAGAAACAAATATAATTCATCTTTAAGAGTATATACATGAACACACACAGGGCATGATGTTCACCGCTATAGACTAATTATGAATGGGCTTTGGAACATCACACACCAAAATATATAGACCCAACAGGCTTGTTTAATTTATCAATACGTGTATTTGTGTTGGTTTTGAACTAGAAATACCAATATGGTCAGAAAGATCATATAATATATTTCTGTGTAGTCTTTTATCTTCACTTTATTTCCAGTCAGCTAAATGTAATATAGTTCAAGGTACAAATATACCCTTGAACTACATTAAAGAGAACAAATACACCCCCAGCTTTCATTTGGAACAATTAAACACAAAAATTGTAAAGGTAGAACAAATATACCCTTATTTTCATATGGTTAAGGGGCATATATGCAGGTATGTAGTTAAGGGGTATGCATATTCGCTAATATATAGTTGAAGGGTATATTTTCTCTCACACATAAATTTCAAGGGTACATTTGTTCTTTCTCCCATAAATATTTAGTCATTTTACATTACTTTAAATCCTTCAAATAGAGAGAGAATAAAATAAAACAACCCAAGTGTATTTTAAACTAGTTTAAACCTTCAAAAGGGCTAAAGTTCAAATAAAATACAAATTGGAGGGGATGGGATTCAACCCCTCACCCACCAAGCAGAATTGCAGCACTTGTTCCATTCTACCCTCAGCTCATCTCTTTACTTAGTGCCAATACTACTTTATATACACAAAATTTAGCACACTCATATAAGTGTATAAGTAGTATATATTGTAAATATATGATGGCGTTGAATGAGGGTTGAGTGGGGGACTGCACACCCTCAGCTCCCCTTTGGGTCCTCCACAGGGAACAAGTAGTCAAGTACACGATAATCTCCAAATGCAGGGGAAAATGTCTGGCAAAGAGGAATAATGGAATATAGAGAACTGACAAGCAGTCAAGCACAACATTAATATTATGGAGAATCATGTAAATTAAAAGTGAAAACAAATTAACCAAGACAAACATTTGTTAATATCAGAACTGAATTGCAAAACTAACATTATTCTTTAAATGTTAATGAGAGGCAAATATGTTCAACAAAATAGCAACTAATGAATTCATGGAACAATCAAACTTTAGTACAGCTAAGTTTCTGCTTGATAGCAAAGATATCGACAGAAACTTGATCTTGCTTTGTTACCTCATACTCCCTCCACCCCGAAAATAATTTCTAGGTTTGACCTACACATGTTTATGCAAAAAGACTGCTTTGACTTTCCAAGATAACCTTTATTTTTTGTCAAATTGCACAAAGTTAGTAAAAAGTAAGGGTAATAGTTACATTTGCTCATTAAATATTTTCTTTTTATAATTATAAAAATAAGAACTTCATTCTGGACATCCAAATAATAATGAACATGAAAACAAGTTTTTGGGTTGGTGGCAATAATAATTAGCCATGTGGAACAAATTCTTCAAAAGCAAACCACAAGACTAGTGAAAAAAGTTCTTTTCGGCAAAAAAAGACACCCAAGACTGATTAATACCAAACTTACACTTCCCACTACAGTACTCCGTACTGCGTACAGATGCACTTATTTACTACTCCGCACTTTCAGGTGGGAATCTTGAGATTGAAGCTAAAAATCACTAGTAAAATAAAACTAAAAGATAAAGCCCATAAATTACCAGCCGGTGATCCAAGAAGCAAAAGGTGCCCAGCTTGGACCAGCAAGTTTGGCGCTCCAGTAATAGAGCCCCCCAGAAGTGGGATAAGAAGAGCAAATCTCAGCCATGGACAGCCCAACAATCATGGTGAAAGTACCGGCAATCAGCCATCCATAGATAAATGAAATCGGGCCTCCAGAATTCAACCCATTGCTGTACAGGGTGTTCAACCCCGTGAGCACAGAGACAACGCTGAACGCAAACGCGAAATTCGACAAGACCCTGCGAATGCCAACCTATTAATGGAACGAATCGAAACATTGAGCTCGGATTTGAAGAAATTTAGTGAAGGAAACATACGAAAGATCGCGCTTGAGTTCTTGTTTGTATCCCAGCTCATGTAAGCGAGCATGGCCGGAATCGACCGAGTCCTGGATGACCATATTGTCCCCTGACGGAAATCCCACACAGTGACACAGAGCAAGTCGAAGGAATCTTTATATCAAACGCTCACCATTTTAGCTCGCCTTCTTGTGATTTTCTCTTCCAGTTTTCTGGGCACTTGGCCTTTCCGATAGGGTCAGCTTTAGTTAATGTCGTTACATAATTGGATGGATTACTAATTTACTACTTTCTTTATTGAGGAAAATTGATTTTCTTTAACTTATTAAGGAAAATTGACTTTTTTCAATTAGAATGTTTTCGTTTGGATAAACATGTGTAGGTCAAACCTAGAAATTATGGAACCTCGAAGTTTCCCGAAACTAAGAAAACGGGTTTCTCAACTCTCTTCTTAATGACAAAAACGGCTCCAAAACAGGAATTTGAAGTTTTCGCGTTTCTGAAACGAGGAAACGTGAGTCACGGAGAGTCTCCGTGCATCATAGGGGAAAACATACTACGTATCATATTAATTTTCCGAAATCAAACCACGCTTACATGAGATCTTTTTTCATGTTTGAGATAATAGAGGAGAAGCGGGTAGAGTTTTCCCCTACAACTAATATTAATAACCAATTATCATTTTAATAAGCGTGTGTGATCAAAACATTACATTGTTTAGAAAGAGAGAATATAAGTCTACCGGCCACCATATATCTTTTCATTATACGTTATGGGGATGGGGCAGCACATGAAAGCTAGCTAGGATGGGGGGCCGGGCATGTTTATAAATTCAGTGCTCACATCTATATAGTTGACGAGTTTGAATTATTGAAAACTCCATTTTGTCCTCTCATGGAATATAATGTATCCATTTAGAATGGTCAAATTAGCCGGCTGACCGGAGTTGGTGATATGAGAAAACACAGTTGAGAAATGGTTTAGGACCAAAAATAAGGATATTTATGCATATAGGACCACTAAGATTTTAACTCCTAAATAGGATCAAATTTTTCCGTGTTTCCAAATTTGCCCCTGTTTTATAACTTTACCTTTTCCTTTCACGCAAACCTTATCTCTCCGCAACAAGCTCGCGCAAGAAGCTCGCTAAGCTTTCTCTCTCCTTCGTCCATAGCTAAGCAGACAAGCAAGGCAACTTTAAGGCCTAGCACCGTGTTGGAAAAATGTGTTAAAAATGACATAAATGATCATTTTGGGGCAATTATTTGAGTGGGGTCCACTTCTGATTTGGGTCGGATCAAAGTGGTTTCGGATTGTCCTTGTTAAGGGCTACAATTCGATATGTGGTACACTCAAAACGGATAGCGGGTGAATGAGAAATTGATTCTCGAAGTTCACTCGTTGAAATGGAAAAACTGGGAAAATGGTGAGTTTCTAGTGTGTTTTATCCCACACCGAAAAACTCAAGGGATTTTCACCCCCTTATAAAGGGAAGCCTCTTTTAAGGAGTTAAGATTCCTAGAGGGAAAGACTCTCTCTTACGCGCCGATCAAATCCCAAAACGGAGAAGAAAAACCGCGATTCGTGTGCGCGAGCGACCTGCGGACACGAATGCCCTCCAAGGGGTGTTCTGTTGGCTTCGGAGAGAAACCCTCCAAGGGGTGTTCTGTTGGCTTCGGACAGAACCCCTCCAAGGGGTGTTTTGTTGGGGTCTTCTGTCGCGCATTTCTTCCGTTACAACAATTAATGCCCAACGTTCTTCTCTTTTAATGCTGCGTTAAATGGACAGTTTATGGACGATTCAATGTCCAACGAACTGGTCATTGATGTCCAACGTTCAAGTCCATTAACACCCCATTTAACACACAACAAATCCTCCTATAAATAGCTGGCAGGTGCTTTGCAACAAACACACGGTTTGACACAACGCACAATACATTCCTCACGTATTCTTCAGCTAAAAACACCTACAGCTACTCTGAAAATTCCTTCTGTGTTCTTCTTGGTTTTCGTTCGCTGGAACTCTTATTTGTGTGCTCAAACACTAGTTCGTAGTCATCGTATCCTGGGAAACGATTGTTGCAACGCTCCTAGCACTGTGGGAGGCAACAAATACGTTTTAAGGACATCGTGCGTAGCACGAGCTTTGACTAATTCTGCTTCATCTCCTTTCTTGTTTTTCTCTAGTCATTTTATTTAATTAATTTATTTTAATTAATTTTCTTTATTTTCCGAAACACACCCAACAATCTTAAAACGTATTTGCTCAGCTTGTATCATACGGATACAATCTTAAAACGTATTTGTTGATTGTTCTACTGTGGTAAACAATCTTAAATCGTAGTTTGTCACTTTGGTGAACGAACTTATTTTTTTTGTGTTTTCGGAAAAACGTTAAAGAACGAAAATGACTTCTCAAGAAAACGAGATTGGTGTTGGGCAGAATGTTCTGAACGACAATCACTCTGAAAGTGGAGCACCAGTGAACAATGGTTCACAACGCGGTGCATCTACTTTGGCCAACCAAAGGGCTATCCCTATGGTGACTGTGCCAAGCAAATCTGTGGAGAAACCCAAGAAATTCAATGGGTTAAACTTCAAGAGGTGGCAACAAAAGATGCTCTTCTATCTCACTACTCTCGGTCTTGCGAGGTTCTTGACCGAGGATGCGCCGGTAGCAACCGAGGGTGAAGTGGATGCGCAATCTTTCAACGCGGTTGAGGCATGGAAGCATTCGGACTTCCTTTGCCGAAACTATGTGTTGAACGGGCTGCATGATGCTTTGTACGACGTGTATAGCAAACTAGCTACGGCTAAGGAGCTATGGAATGCTTTGGACCACAAATATAAAAGCGAGGATGCCGACGCAAAGAAATTTGTTGTTGGTCGATTCCTTGATTTTAAAATGGTGGATTCGAAGACGGTCTTGAGTCAAGTTGAGGAAATGCAAATGATCTTCAACGAAATTCGAGATGAAGGAATGACAGTTAGTGAGTCATTCCAAGTGGCGTCAATTATTCATTTATTGCCGCCGGCTTGGAAGGATTTCAAGAACTACCTTAAGCACAAGCGAAATGAAATGAACTTGGAGCAATTGATGCTCCGTCTGCGGATTGAAGAGGATAACCGGAAGAACGATGGGAAACTCCCAATTGTTCATGGCGCCAAGGCCAACGTGGTGGAGCATGCTAAAGGCTCCAAAAATAAAAATAATGGGAAGATCAAGCTCGGTCCCAAGGGAGGCGTTTCCAAGACAAAGTTCAACGGAAAATGCTTCAATTGCAATAAAAACGGACACAAGTCCGCGGATTGCAAGGCACCCAAGAAGAAGAGGGACTCTCAAGTCAACTTGGTGCAAGGTGGGCAAAAGGATGAAGACATCATCCTTGCGGCTGTGATGACCGAGGTCAACCTCGTTGGATCCAATTCCAAGGAGTGGTTTGTGGACACCGGTGCAACCCGGCATATTTGCTCAAACCGGGAGTTATTCACAACTTTTGAGCCATCAAATGGTGAGAAAGTGTGGATGGGTAACTCGGCTCATTCCGCGGTTGAAGGCGTGGGCAAAGTGGTCCTGAAGATGACTTCGGGCAAGGAGCTGACTCTAAACCAAGTTTTGTTCGTTCCGGAAATACGCAAAAACCTGATTTCCGGTTCGTTGTTGAACAAGCATGGCTTCCGCATGGTCTTTGAGTCGGACAAATTAGTTCTGTCTAAATCGGGAATGTATGTGGGAAAGGGATATGCAGTTGATGGGCTGTTTAAGCTCAATGTAATGACTATTATTAATAATAATAATAAAATACCTTCTGCTTACTTGCTTGAGTCTTCTAATGTGTGGCATGGTAGACTAGGACATGTTAATTTTAATTCTATACGTAGATTAATTAACATGGAACACATTCCTAAATTCACAATTGATGTGAAGCACAAATGTGGAGTTTGTGTAGAGGCAAAACTAGCGAAAACGTCTTTCAAATAAGTTGAAAGAAAAACGGAACCACTTGAATGAATTCATAGTGACGTTTGTAATTTTAAATCAATACAAACACGTGGCGGTAATAAATATTTTATTACCTTTATCGATGATAGCACTCGCTATAGCTACGTTTATTTATTAAAAAATAAACACGAAACAATCGATAAATTCATTCTTTATAAGAATGAAGTGGAAAACCAACTTAATCGAAGGATTAAGACGGTTAGGAGTGATCGAGGTGGTGAGTATGAAGCACCAATTGGTGACTTTTGCGCTAGTGTGGGTATAGTACACGAACGTACTGCACCCTATTCACCTCAATCAAACGGTGTTGCCGAACGAAAGAATCGCACATTGAAAGATATGATGAACGCGATGCTAGTAAGTTCGGGCTTGCCACAAAATATGTGGGGCGAAGCAATCTTGACAAGCAATTACCTTTTAAATAAGGTTCCCCGGAAAAAATATGATAAAACTCCATACGAGTTGTGTAAAGGCAGACGGCCTTCCTATCAATATTTAAAAGTGTGGGGGTGTCTTGCAAATGTGCTTGTACCAACACCTAAGAAAATAAAAATAGGTCCAAAAACGGTGGATTGTATTTTTATTGGATATGCACAAAATAGTAGTGCGTATCGGTTTTTAGTGTACGATTCGAATAATCCGGATGTACATAAAAACACAATAATTGAATCAAGGAATGCTTCATTCTTTGAAGATATATTTCCATGCAAGTCCAACGAAGGGCCTACCACGTCAAAACGAACATTTGACGTAGTTATGGAAAATACTAGCGAGGGGTCCGGAGAAGAACCCGAACCCAGACGTAGCAAACGTGATAGAGTTGAAAAATCCTTCGGATCGGATTTTCTCACCTACCTGGTAGAATTTGACTCGAATATTCTAACATGTATGGTAGAAAATGAACCGGATTTTCTAACATGTTTGGTAGAAAATGAGCCACGGACTTATACGGAAGCCGTGACGTCTACTGAAGGTCCTATGTGGAAAGAAGCCATCAAAAGTGAGGTGGATTCTATCCTTAAAAATCACACATGGGAATTGGTTGATCTTCCCCCGGGAAATAAACCTTTGGGATCCAAGTGGATTTTTAAACGGAAAAGGAAACCTGACGGTTCCATCGATAAGTACAAGGCCAGACTTGTAATCAAGGGATACAAGCAATGTGAGGGCCATGATTACTTTGACACGTATTCTCCTGTGACGAGAATAAATTCCATTAGGATGATACTAACAATTGCTGCATTGCGGAAATTGGAAGTTCATCAAATGGACGCAAAAACCGCTTTTCTGAATGGCGATATAGACGAAGAAATCTATATGGAACAGCCCGAAGGCTTTCGTGTTCCAGGTCAAGAAAGGAAAGTGTGTAAATTAATTAAATCATTGTATGGATTGAAACAAGCCCCTAAACAGTGGCACGAAAAGTTCGATCATGCAATGTTAATTAATGGGTTTAAAATAAACGAAAGTGACAAATGCGTCTATGTGAAGAGCACGGTAGACGACTATGTCATTTTATGTTTATACGTGGATGATATACTCATCGTGGGTAGCAATAATCTAATGATTAATTCTACCAAAAACATGTTAAATTCTAAATTTGACATGAAGGATATGGGGCTGGCCGATTTAATCCTTGGGATTAAAATAATTAGAGGACCTGACGGTCTTACGCTAAACCAATCCCATTACGTTGATAAAATCCTTACGAAATTTAATAAGGATGATTATCAAGAGGCAAGGACTCCATTAGATAAAAACGTACAACTTACCAAAAATCGTGGAGAGTGTATTTCTCAAGTAGAATAC